TGTTTCTTTTGATTTTAATACTTGTTTTTTCCGTTTTCTATTTTTTTTAAATCCCAAAAAGCATCAAAATCCAAAAAACTAAAATATGGGGATGTAGGAAATTTCAAACTCTACAACCCCATTTTTTTTTTTTTTTTTTTGGCCTATTAGTCTATTTTTTAAAAATCACTGGGTTTTTTGGCCGCGGTTGGCCCCACAGCTGCCCCCCGTGGGCATGACCATGCCTGCAAGCGGTAAAATGGTCCGGGGTCATGATCGTGGGTGATACATGGCTTGGGATCGAAGGTGTCATCCATGCGCGAGTGACGAAGCGTGGCCGCTGTCGCTGGAGGACCCTGCGAAAAAGTCTTCCTCTTCCTCGACGTCCCAATGTCAGTGACCAATCTCTTCCCCGCCCTCAACGGTACGCGGTCACGCTCTGCCGCTCTCTGAACCTTTATTGGAACCTCCTCAGAGTTGTTGTCGGCCGCCCCACGACCAGCATCCATACCTCCCCCCTCGGCCTTAGACAGTTCACACGCCCCCGCAGCGTCTTCGACGTCGTCGCCCGCCACTGGCTCAAGATCGTCGTCATCCTTCTCTCCCCCTCGTCGACCGTGCAGTCCTCTCTTATCTGTCCATCCTCTCTCTGCCAGGTAAGCCTTTATCTTCTTCCAATGGCTCTGATCGAAGTGGATGGAACTCTTGTTCCAAATCTCGGCCAAAATGTCTATCGTTGCTTGAGGGCAGTTGTTCTTGATCGTGCACATTTGCTATGACTCGCGACGAAATCCTGGTCGCACAACTTGCACTTCATGACGAAGTTGCCATTGTGGTTCCCGAGCAAGTGTCGTTCTTCATCCATTTGAAGCCGACAAACTTCAACTCTGCCTCTCTCTGCCTTTCTCTGTTGACAGGGATAAACTCCCTCTGTGCCCCCCGATGCTTGGGCGACATTGTCAGCCCCCTGGTCACCGGTCAAGTAGCACGAAGTATCCGTCCTCACTGATGCCACACTTGTCGTGCAGCTCTCGTACAATAAAACTTTGTGGCACCTTCGCTGCCCGCGGCACCAGCACTGGCGGGCAGTGGCGGCGGCCGCAAGCCCCCCCAGTGGGCCTGGTGACGGCTGGGCGGCTGATCCGAAGATGCTTCACGGCCGGGGGTCCGACGACGCGAGCGGGGTCTCGGCCCTACGGCGGGAATGGCCCGCTTAGCCGCACGGCCCGTTTAGGCATACGGGCCGTACGAACAGCACGTTCGAACGGGAGGCCCCGTTTGAACGGCATGTCCGTACGGCGTACGGGGGCGGGCCGTCCTCTCTCTCTCTCTCTCTCTCTCTCACAACAGGCGGTCCGAAGGTGCGACAATGGTTCCCACGGCGAGGCAGGAACGACCCGCTTAGACGCACAGGCCATTTGAACGGTAAGGCTATACGTCTGGCTCCGTTCGCACGGCACGTTCGAACGCGGTCGGGCAGTCTGACCACAGTCTCTCTCTCTCTCTCTCTCTCTCTCTCTCTCTCTCTCTCTCTCTCTCTCTCTCTCTCTCTCTCTCTCCCCCAACAGTGGCAACAGGTGCTTTGACGGCGCGGCGGAAACTCTCTCTCCCGGCAGGCGGTCCGATAGCGCGGCGATGGTTCCGACGGCTCCGAGCTATGAAACACCCGCGGACGCGTCCGCGGGGTCCAGCTCGGATGGCGGCCGTATATACGGCCGCGTCCGCGACCGACCTGGTCCGCGCCGCGGATGCAAATTTACCATATTTTTCCTGCATTAAATAATGGGTAAAAATATATATATATATATATATATCGTCACAAACAGAACTGCCCGGTAAACCGTAGGCAGAGAGAGAGAAGAGGACAACAAACGATATG